GAGGAGGAGCGAGGAGGATAAGCGAGGAGCAGTAGAGGGTGAGATCGACGAAACATGATAATAATAACTAAGGATAACGGGGGAAGAGGTAGAGGGAGGAGTGAGTAGGGAGGAGTAGTGAAAAGAGTAAGTCAGGAGAAACAGTGCGGAGGAGGAGAGAAGAGGATAAACAGGGGAGAGCAGGGAGAAGGGGTGAGGACGAGGAGCAACAAGGATGAGAAGTGAGGATGAGGAGGAGGAATGTAGAGAAAGGGAGCCTGGACGGGTCGAACCCTAACGGGCGGGTCTGGTCGGGTCGGCTGGACATCAAAGTATGATGCATGTGCGAATGGACACGCGAGAACCCTAACGGGTCGGGTCGGCGTGACGGGTCAGGTCGGGCGGACCCTAACGGGCGGATCAGATTGGGTCGGGCCGGACCCTAACGGGCGGGTTAGGGTGGGTCGGGCGGAACATAAAAATATGATGCATGTGCGAGAACCTTAACGGGTCGGGTCGTGACGGGACGGGGGTCGGGTCGGACCCTAACGGGCGGGTCGGGTCAGGTCGGCGGGATATTCAAATATGATGCATGTGCGAGTGGACACGCGAGAACCCTAACGGATCGGCTCGGGACGGGACGGGTCGAGTCGGGCGGACCCTAACGGGCGGGTCGGGACGGGGTCGGGCGGACCCTAACGGGCGGATCGGGTCGGGCGGGCGGGACATTCAAATATGATGAATCATCGAATGGACACGCGAAAACCCTAACGGGTCGGGACGGGACGGGTCGGGTCGGGCGGACTCTAACGGGCGGGTCGGGTCGGGAGGTCCCAAACGGGCGGGTCGGGTCGGGCGGGCGGACATGAAATATGATGCGTCATCGATTGGGTACGCGAGAATCCTAATAGGTCGTGTCGGGACGAGTCCGACCCTAACGGGCGGGTCGGGTCCAGTCGGTGGGACCCCAAGGAACGGGTCGGGTCGGACGGGCTGGACATTAAAGTATGATGCAGCACTGAAGGAACACGCGAGAACCCTAACGGGTGGGTCTTTCCGGGTCGGGCGGAACCTAACGGGCGGGACGGGTCGGACGGGCGGGCCGTCAAAATATGATACATCAACGAGTGAACACGCCAAAACCCTAACGGGTCGGGTCGGGTCGGGACGGGCGGACCATAACGGGCGGGTCGGGTCGGGTCGGGTCGGACACTAACGGGCGGGTCGGGTCGGGTCGGCGGGACAATAAAGTATGATGCATGTGCGAGCGGACACGCGAGAACCCTGAAGGGTCGGGTCGGGTCGGACGGGACGGATCGGATCAGGCGGACCCTAACGGGCGGCTCGGGTCGGGTCGGGCGGACCCTAACGGGCGGGTCGGGTCGGGACGGGTTGGACCATAACGGGCGGGTCGGGTCGGGCGAGCGGCCTAGGGGGGTAAGCCTAGGGTGTTCCTAAGGGAACGGCCTAGGAATAGACCTAGGGCCTCGGGGTAGGCCCAGGGTAGCCCTACGGGTAGGCCTAGGGATAGGCCTATGATAGTCTTAGGGAAAAGGCCTAGGGATAGTCTTAGGGGGAAGGCCTAGGGGGAAGGCCTACGGGTAGGCCTAGGTCAAGCCTAGGGGGTAAGCCTGGGGGTAGGCCTGGGGGGGTAGGCCTAGGAGGAAGGCCTAGGGGTAGGTCTAGGGTAGGCCTACGGGATAGGCCTAGGGGTGGGTAGGCCTAGAGGGTAGGCCTAGGGTAGGCCTACCTCCGGGTTCTATAAGTATTGGGGGCCTCTCGGGCCGTTCTTGGGCCATCCTGGAGGCCTCCTGGGCGATCTTTCGGGTCTCTTGGACCGTCTTTGGAGCGTCTGAAGGCCGAAGAGGCGCGAATAGCAAAATCCATCAAACGCCTGCGGAACATCCATGATGTTGGTCTCTAAGGGCCTGCCTGGAGGGCCTTGCAAGCACTGACTGGGGAAACAAGTTGGCGAATCAGCTCACGCAGCTGGTTCTCCGAGCGCCTCCTGGCGCAAGAGGCGCTCACGTGCTGAGGACCTCGCCCAGCGGCGGGCCCAAAACCAGCTGCACGCAGCAGATTTCGTACCCCCCCGTTCCCTGTCTAGAGGTGAGGAATATTCGAAAATAGTCCAACAATGACATTGGGACGAATTGCAAACTATCTTGGAGCGTTTTTGGATATTCTTGGCGATTCTTTGATTTTTTGTCCAAAGTCCGCCTGTAGGGGGACATGCCCGACCTAATCCTAGGTGGGGTCCGCGTAGATGGGGTCGGAGGATCGCGCCGCACCGCCCATGCATCGGCGATGCATCGGCCCCGTCGGCGCGAAATCGGGCTCCACATCGAGGCGCATCTCGAGTGCATCGGCGATGCAGGCGCGATCCTCTGACCCCATCTATTCGGGGCCCATTTGGTAATTAGGCCTAGACAAAGTGACGCGAGGTAAACGTGACCCGTGGTGACTCCGGCGAAGGGTCACCCTTACGCGTAGCCGAAGAAGACTAGGCCGACGGATGTCCAGGCAAGCGGGCTGCGAGCGGCACCCGAGGCGGGAGCCGTTCACCCCGTCGATGCACCCTTCATTGAGGGCTTGGCGACTTCTGACGTCCCTCGACTCGCGCCAGAGCGGCCGCGACTTGCTCCAAAATTCCCTCGAGGTCTCTGGATCGATCTGGATCTACCCAGATTTACCTGGACTTATCTGGATGTACCTCGATCTATCTGCTTTTGACTGGACTCATCTGGCTCGATCGCCACGAGTCGATGGGCGAAGAGCCGTCAAGCCCTTGGGGAGCCCTACTCTCGACTATCCCCCCCCCCCTCTCGCCCGATCCGAACGGAGCAGCAGCTGCAGGGCACAGCCGTTTCTGCTGCGGGCGCGGCGCGGGCGGCTGGGCGCCGCGGCGCGCGCGGCGCGATGGGGGGAGCCCAGGGCCACGATTGAAGCCCCCGGGAGCACGAAGCGCGCCGGGAGGCGCCGCCCCAGCAGGGCGGCGAGCGGCGCTCGAGGGGGGGGGCGGCGGGCAGATCGGCACGGGAACGTGAGCGTTTTCTTACTCAGCGTTTTCCCAAAGGGCTTGACGACTTTTCGCCCATCGACTTGTGGGGATCGAGCCAGATGAGTCCAGCTAAACGCAAACAAATCTAGGTTAATCCAGGTAAATCCAGGTACATCTGAGTAGATCCAGAGATCTCGAGAGAAAGTCGGAGCAAATCGCGGCCGCTCTGGCGCGAGTCGAGGGACGTCAGAAGTAGTCAAGCCCTCAACGACGTGCGGAGGGGGGGAGGGGGCGGGTCCTGGCTGCAGACCTATGCTTCGTGCGACGGTTTGCAGCAGTACATCCTATGGGTCAGGCTCCGCCTGCCTGAAGCAGGCGCCCAAAACATCCAAGATCTACTCCATGAAAGGGGGGAAGGGGTGGGCGAGGGCTCCTGCACCGATCGGCAAAACACTGAATATGAAAACGATCACCATGCACCGTACCATGTTCGGACTCCCTTGAGGCCCCGCTCCTATGCTGTCCGGTGCATAGCAGCTCGGCTCGGCAAGGCCGAGTTTTTAGGTACCGCATTTTTCCGGGGCCGAAGATCGACGACGCCTCGGGAGACGCTAACGCGGCACGGTGCACACAAGACGTCCGCGGAGATAGGATAGGGGGGGGCCAGCTCAGGGGGGGGAAACATCGAGCTCGAACCTAAGAAAATTGCATCGCCGATCGGCGATGGGCCCCTGATAGTTGGCCCCCCCCTCGGCGATGTATGGGCGATGTGGGATCGATGCAGCCCCCTGAGCCTATCCCCCCCAAACGTTGCCCCTGCTTGAGTGGACGTCCGGCGGCTCGCAAAGATTGAGACGACTTGGCTCTTTCTCTCTCTGGGGATACCAAGCGGTACCCACACAGATACTCCCCGGACCTCTCACGTAGTGAGTTCTGATCAGAATTCCGAGGCGAATCCAGCGGTGGCGACGAGGGCCCCCCAGGAGGCCCAAAGAGAGGAAAACGAAGGAAGGGTAATCTGGATGGGGCAATCATCGCCCTTCTCTTAGATCCGCTGGGGGAGTTGGGCACGCGCGGTCGGAACGGGTGGAGGGGGGATTGAAGGAGGAGGAGGGGAAGGAGGGGGAGGAGCAGGAGGAGGGGGAGGGATGGGCAAGCTCCGTCGGAAGGTTAGCCGCCCACCCAGCGTAGAGGTATGGGTGCCTTTTCCTCCTGCGACTCGTCGGCCACTGGAGGCGGGCACTGGGCCCCGGGGAGCGGTCGAGAGAGGCCTGGGGGGGCCCAGACGTCCGATGTCTTCAGGCTTGCTGGTGCGGGGTCTGGAGACATCACGACCCTCAGGACGAGGAGATCTATACATTTCCATTGCTCCCTCGCCAGGCCCATCCTGAACCCAGCAGTGGTGCATACGCCACGCTCTTGGCTTCGCCAGGGACCAGCATACACACATATCTCTATACATGTATACATATACACACATCTATATATATATATATATATATGTATATTATATATACAGATAGATAGATGTATAAACTGTATATATATGTATATATATATATATATATATATATAGAGCACTCGTTCACCCAAACCCTTTCTCCACGGCCAGTTTCACACCTCGAAGCGCTTTCCGACAGCCCCAATCAGCCCGACAATTGCCTCTGTAGGCCGCAAGCGGCAAAGCAAATCCGTGCTGCTCCCCCCCGCGCGAGGCTGTCTAGGGGCCCATGTTTCGATACATCGGCTACACGGCAGGGTAGGGGCCTTCTAGGCGGAGTCCGAATAGATGGGATCGGAAGATCGCGCCTGCATCGCCGATGCACTCGAGATGCTCAAGCGACGTCAGCGATGCATCGGTGCCGTCAGCGTGGCGTGGAGAAAATCGGGCTCGACATCGAAACGCATCGCCGCTTCATCGGCGATGCGGCGCGATCCTCCGACCCCATCTACTCGGTCCCCATATTGGAGGCCTAGACAGGGTGACGTGAGGTAAGAGTGACCCTTGGTGACTCCGGCGATGGGATCGAGCCGACGGATGTCTGGGCAGGGCTGCGAGCGGCACCCGGCGGGAGCTGTTCACCCCGTCCCTGGCGCGAGCGGCACTGTAAAGGGCGTGCATGCACAAGTGACAGGTGTTGTGGGGGACAATATACAAGCTGCTACTCCTCCTCCTCCACCTCCGTCTGCCTCCTCCTCCTCCTCTTGTATTCCCTCCCTCGTCCTCCTCCTCCTCGCATCCACCCTGCACCCTCTTACTCCCTGTACCCCCACCCTCCCGTCGCACACCTGCACCCCGCCTCCCTCTTACCTCCTTACCCTCACCCTCTCCTCCGCCTCCGTTTCCGCCTCCTCCTGTTTTTTTTGTGACGTTGCGTGGACCTAGATCGGATGATCGCGGCGTCTGGTAGCTAGGGAAAAAATGGCGGAACCGACTTAATCCTAGGGTACTACGGGCAAAAAGAGGCTTAAACACCGGACGGCAAAATTGTGCCTTTGAGCATGCGCTCGCCAAGCAATAAGTGAACAGCGAAGCCTGGTTTACCTTGGCACCCTCCCCACCGCATAAATAAGGTAGCGCACTCCTCCAATGCCCAAGCGTTTTTTATTTATAAAAAGGAGAGATCGTGCAGTACAGACGACTGAAGAGCAACATAGTGGGAGCATGTGAAAACTGGCACGTAAAGGCTGGCCTGCAAAATGCCATCTTGAGCAAGACTCAGGGAACAGTGCTCAGAAGGGCCACGCAATGTGAGTTAGGGGGTTCCTGAAAAAGGGAGGAAGGACAGGGCAAGCAAGGAAGAGGGGCGTATGGATAATAAGTGAACCGACCAATAACGCAGCTGGAACTGTAGGATGTGCAGCACAGAAAAGAATAATGCACGCCTAACAACAATTCTCGGGCTGCTACCCAAGGTTTTACGGCTCACCCTAAACCTCCACGGCGTCGTGACCCTCGTGTTTACTGCGTTTCTTCGGTTTTAGCACGAATCCGTGTAAATGTAGGCTGGCACGGTCAAGCGTGGCTGACCTGGAGTAGTTCGATGGGGGTCTCACTCTGGACCCACGAGGACATCAAAGGTTGAGTGCGCGCAACAGCTGGATGTAAAGTGTGTCATCCACTCTGGCAAGTCAGAACAAATAACTGAACCAACACACTGTGACAGTACATGTTGAGGTGCAATGGGTAAACTACGTGCTGAGGCCGATGCAGGCTGAGGCTGAGGCTGAGGCAAACCGAAGCAGGCTGAGGCTGAGGCTGAGGCTGACGCTAAGGCAGGCTGAGGCTGAGGCAGGCTGAGGCTGAGGCTGACGCGGGCTGAGGCCGAGGCAGGCTGAGGCCGAGGCCGGGGCAGGCTGAGGCTGAGGCCGAGGCAGGCTGAGGCTGAGGCTGAGGCAAACCGAGGCAGGTTGAGGCTGAAACTGAAGCAGGCTGAGGCATTCGTAGGAATCCACACGAACCCCTAGGAATTCATGGGGGTCCTTGGGAATCCGTAGGCATCCTTAGGAATCCGTGGGCATAGTTAAGCACCATCAAAAATCCTTAGGATTCCTTAGGATTCCTCAAGAATCCTCACGAATCCCTAGAAATCCATTACAATCCGGATTCCTAAAGATTCCTAAGGTTTCTTAAGGATTCCTATGGATTCCTAAGGATGCCAGAGGAATCCCTAGGAATCCAAATCCCTAGGAATCCATTGGATCCGAAGGCCGTTGTCGCTGCGATTGTCATTGCGAATGCGACTGCGACTGCGAAAACAGCAGAATTCTACAACTGGATTCTCACCTGAATCTTAAAGGGAATGCTTCCAGATATGCTGATACACATCGCTGTTAGGTTGATTTGCCGGGATACTGTTTTGTTTTCCAGATGCGGGCGCCGATCAAGCGTCAAGGTCGCTTATGTGATCGAGATGGAGGTGGCCCAGCGGCGATGACCTCGATATCGTCAAATTTCCGACGACAAAGCCGCGATCGCAAAACAGAGGGCACCTGTGCGCGCGTGGCAAGAGCGCTCCTTTCCAGCGCTGTGCTGCTCGCAAATGCTGTCCGAGAAAGACTGCTGCATGCCCTGGCAGCGGGCACTGCACGCCAATAGGAGCCAGGCCGGTCACGGTGCGTGACCTGGCATGCATCTTGGCCCTGGCCAACGTCTGCGAATTCCACGCGGTTGAACGGTGCGAGGCCGAGCACCAGCCATGCCACTCATCTCCCCCATCAGCCGACGCAGCCGCCGTAGCCGGCCGGCTGAAGACGCCGCCGGGGCCATTGGCATGCCGCCGCATCCAGCAATGCCGATCAGGGTGTCCACCGTCGCCTGCAATACCTCCACTCGTTTCTGTTACTCCTGCGTCTGCTGCTTCACCGTAGTCGCGCCCGACGCCGACGACGGGCGGCCTGGCGGCGGGCGCCGCGGCGCGCTGCTGCTGTCGTCGTCGTCGTTGGCTGAGGCTGCATCGGGGCCGGCGCCTGTCACCTGATCGGCCGATCCAGCCGATGTTCTGGGCGCCCTGCCTACGAGGCTGGTGGGCGGCGGATGCGACGGCGGCGCCGCATGCCGCTTGGGCACCGCGGGGGCCGCGGGGGGCGTCAGCGGAGTCCGCGGCGTCCTGGGAGGCGTCTGCGGCGCCCCGGCAGGCGTCTGCGGCGCCCGCGACGACGCTGCCGGGCGCATCTTCGGCATCGCCCGCTGCGGCGGCTGCTGGCGAGGAGGCGCAGGGCGACGACCGCCAGCGCCATCATCATCATCATCATCATCATCATCATCATCATCATCATCATCAGCGTCGGACTCGCTGGGGCCATTGTCGTCGAGCTCCTCCGTCGGCGGGCGGCGGCGCGCCCTATCGCGGCGGCGCCGGCGCTGCTCGATCAGCTGCAGCGGCGTCTTGCCCGTTGGCGCTGGGTGATGTGGCGGCCCGAGCTCTGCCAGCTGGTCCCAGACGTCCAGGTGCGACAGATCGAAGATCTCTGCAACCTTGACGTCGATGGGCCGACACATTATAATTTGGGGTCTCCGAGAAAATGATTCTCTGAGAACACCAGTGCTTCCACGCACCTACACCAATGCACTGCACCCATGCACCCCGCATAATAATACACCCATACACCTCGTAATGAAATAAACCCACGCACACGCCCAACATAATAACACACCCTTGCGCCCATACTATAACCCACAGAAATATACACCCATACACCCCACATACTGCTGTGCCAGCAACCTCGCGCCAGCTGCCGACGCGGCGCAGGAGGCCGTCGCCCGCCTCGGGCCAGTCCTGGAGGTCGCCGACTGGGTTTGCCCCAGTGCGCAGGATGACCTTGCCCGCTCGAGATCTGATCGGCTCGCCGCAGTTGCCCGCGGGGTCAGGGTGCCCCACGAGCACTCGAGATGATTGTCAATCATGTGGGTCAAGTGGAGGCTTTGTGCACTGGGGCCTTTGCCCTGTGGGCCGCTCCTGGGATGTCAAATGGACATTATACTCGCTCAGCCCCATCTCGATCAGACCTGTGCTTCTGATCAGCCGCGCAACCCACGCCTCAACCCTGCCGAACCTCCGGAGATGGGAATGCCACGCCCCACGGGTCGCGCGGCTGATGAAATGGAACTCGCGCAGGCCGAACTCAGCCGCATGCAGCAGCAAGGGGCCAGACTCCATCCTCCACGTCTTTGAACACTTGGTCGCTGTTGATGGGCGGCGCAAGCATGGCCCGCCCCGAGGCGGCGCCGCGGCGGATGTGGCAGGCGGGGCGCCGCCCCCACATCGCCGCAACACCGCCTCAGAGTGCGCCGCGAGCTTGCCCGCCAAACACCTTCTACACGGATGTCGCTGTTTTTGATCGATGCCACATCGCCAACATCAGCGCCGAGCACGGGCGGCATCGGCGCCTGAGGGGGGCCGGCGGGCGGCCGATTCGGCAAAGCGCCAGGCGGCCGCAAAGCGCCAGGCGCCCAACGGAATGCGCACAACTTCTCGCCACCTGGGAGATCGCGCATTCCCCCGCGTTCGCCCGAAACCCAAAGATTACCTTTGCACTATTCCCACCCATCCTGTGGCGTTGGGCCCCCGCCTTGAAAAGGGAGCGCCCCGCGTCTCCCCTCGCCCCCCCCCTCCTTCCTCCTCCCATGCCTGCCTCTGCTCTTCGCGTGCCATCATCATCATTGCCATCATCATCATCGCCATCCTCAGCATCATCGCCACCATCGTCATCATCACCATCAACCTCATCATCACCATCATCACCATCAACATCACCATCATCATCGTCACGATCGTCATCGCCGTCGTCGCACCCGTCCCAAGACACCCCTCGAACGTTTCCGTCGTGGCCCCATTGGGAACTCCACCCGTGGCCCCAATTGCATCGTTCGCGGGCGGGCGCCACCCCCCTTTCCGCCACGCCCCTCGCGCGCGCCGCGACCCCGTGGGGAGATTCAGCCAAGGCCCCGGCGGCGCCGTTTGCAAGTGGGCGTCGCCCCTGTTTCGGCGCATCCCTCACGCGCTGCGTGGCCTCGCACGGAGCTCCAGCTAAGGCCCCACTTGCACCGTTCGCGCGCGGGCGCCGCCCCCTTCTCGGCGCGCCCCGCACGCGTTTCGCAGCCCCGCAGGGGGCCCCAACTAAGGCGCGGTGGGCGTCGCCCGTGTCGGCGCACCCCTCGCGCGCTGCGTCGTGGCCCCGTAGGGGGCCCCAACAAATGCCCCACTGGCGCCGCTCGCATGTCGGCGCCGCCCCCGTTTCGGCACACCCCTCGCGCGCGTGACCCCATAGGGGGCCCAGCGAAGGCCCCAGTGGCACCGTTCGCACGTGGGCGCCACGCCCGCATCGGCACACCCCTCGCACGCGTTGTGGACCCATGTGGGGACCCGCCTAAAACCCAAGCGGCACCGTTCGCGCGTGGGCGCCACCCCTCCTTTCGGCATACCCTTCACGAGTTTCGTCTGTCGTGGTCCCATAGGGGGCCCCAGCCAAGGCCCAAATGGCATCGTTCGCATGTGGGCGCCGTCTTCGTTTCTGCACATTCTCCTCCACCCAAAACCCCAGCGGCGCCGTTCGCGCGCGGGCGTCGCCACCTCTTCGGCGCACCCCCCGCGCGCTTCGTGGCCCCATCGGGAGCTCCACCTAAGGCCGCGCCGGCATCGTTCGCGCGTGGGCGTCGCCCCCGTTTCTGCACATCTCACGCATTTTGTCGCCCCATGGGAAGCTCCAGCTAAAGCCCACGCGGCGCCGCCGTTCGCCTCGCACGCGGGCGGCGCCATCATGCCGGCACGCCCCTCACACTGTTCATGGCCCCACAACTCCACCTATGACCCAATGGCGACTCCCCTTACTTCCGGCACTCCCAGCGCGAATTTCGCGTCGTCGCGGTCGCGCAAGGAGCTCCACCCATGGCCCCAGCGGGGCAACCCGCGCATGGGCGACACCCCCGACCGCAGGGAGCTCCGCCAAAGGCCTCAGCGGCGCAGCCCGCATGCGGGCGGTGCCCCACTTGCTGCACCGACAACTGCACGCGGTTGGGTTCCTCGCCAAGCCTTACATTTGCCGGGGGCGGGGCCCCGGCATTGCAAAGCATGGGGCGATTGCAGAGCACGCAGACAATCAATAATCATAATGGACATGGGGGGCCCGCACTTCAAGCGCAACAGGACTTACCAGCGTATGAGTGTGCGATGATAAATTCATGATTTCGTTCATGTGTGCGCGCGCGGGCGCGCGGCTGCGCGGTTGCGCGGGCGCGCGTGGGGCCCTGGCGACAACTATGATGCGCAATGGGTGCAATAATGGTGATGGCGGAATGGGTGTGTCGATGCGTTGAGGATAGTGAGTGATCGACGACGACGGAGGCGTCGACGACGGCTGACGACTACGTCAAGTGGCGTTCGCGGACGCCGCCGCGGGCCAGCTCCCGCGCCCGCGCGCGCGGACGCCCGCTCCCAGGGCTCCGCGGACGCCGCGCCCCCCCACCGCGCCCTTTCTCTCCAACACTCTTCCAGCATATGTTCTCGCGGAACGCGGCTAATACGTTCCAAGCTCGAAAACTGAGCGGCGAAAACTTCGGCCTCTTTTTGTTTGCGCGCGGACATTGCCAGCGCGTGCGTGATGAGCGGAAATCTATGCGTGCGCATTATAAAAATTCGGCAGTACCAAGACATAAATCTTCTGGATATAGACGCACGCCTTGAAACATATACAATAAAGGAATGCATACTTTTGTATATGAACATACATAATACCACGTGTGTCTCTTCAGCCAGATCTACATATATAGGTGCATTGATGCAATCATACGCGCTCGTGTATTCACCATGTGTACATATATATACACAACTATACATAAGTATATGATATGGACGCGTGTCTTCTCTGATACAGATGAAACGCATGGTGTTCACCGTTCAGCTTCTTGATATCGAATCACGTTCTTCTCGCGCGCCGAATCCAAGAACGCCCGCATGCAGCGCCCCAGTTGGACGAGCGCCCAACATAAAAACAAACATGGCCCAAATATTTAACCACATATTAGAAACTATTAGTCGCGCTCGTGGTGGCTGCATTGGTGCGAGGAAATTTCAAATTCCACTGAATGTGGGGAAGTCATTATCCTCTCTTGCTACAAGAATTCGATTTCGCATTCCTCGCCGATTACCCCTCAGCTTCATAACCGTCTCAAGTCCTCCCCAGCTCCCCTTCATATCCAGAATCCTCTCTAACTCCAGGAATTCGCTTTCAAATGCCTCGCCCCCCCCCTCAGCTTCAGAATTCTCTCTAAGTCCCAGAGCTCGCTGTCAAAATCCTCGCCAGATCCCGTCAGCTTCAGAATCCTGCGTTAGTCCTGGAATTCGCTGTCACATTCCTCGCCAACTCCACTCAGCTTCAAATTCCTGTCTACTCCCATCAGCTTCAGAATCCTTTCGGACTCCACGAATTAGCTTCCGAATTCCTGGTCAACTCCCCTCAGCTTCAGAACCCTCTCTAACTCCAGGAATTCGCCTTCAAATTCCTCGTGAACTCCCCTCAGCTTCAGAATGCTCTCTACATATGAGAACGCGCATTCAAACCGCAAGGATGCGAATTTCACCGTCGCTCTGCAAGTCATCGTTGGTCTAGACCGCCAAGCGCGAAGCGCAAATAGCTTCGCACCTTCCTGGGAGCCCTTATTTTGCCTTCGAAGCCCTTGCCGCACGCGCCGCCAAGGAAAGCACCCTTCCAGTATCTGTACATGACGTTGTTGCTTTGACCATTCCAGCACCCAGGAGGCACAACGCTTGAAGTCCAGGGACTACCAACACCAATGACAAAAATCCATACCATGGGACAGCCGCGGCAACGATATATGACAACGCTTACACCCAACGGCTTCGAGGGCGTCGCGCTTGCAACCACACGACGGACAAAAACCTGTGGCTGCCGGCTTGCTTTTCTTGCTCCCATTTGTGACCCAGCCACCATCACCATCGCCATCGCCCCCAAACATAGCCCAGGGCTAACAAGAAAAGCGAGAACAAGGGTCTGGAACCATCGGCCGCCGAAAATACAATGTAAGCGAGGATACTTTACGCGAATCGTGATGCGAATAAAGCCTGGCACGGGCCAGGAGAGCAGTTGGGCGCCGCAAAATGCCCCTCACCACCAGGTCAAGACCTTGAGCGAAACGCTACGGACTTGAGCAAAAATGGCTACGGAATCCTGCTGCAGCTGCTCCTCCTCCTCCTCCTCCTCTTTCTCCTCCTCTCTCTCCTCATCCTCTTCCTTTTCCTTCTCCTCCTCCTCCTCCTTCTCCTCCTCCTCCTCCTCCTCCACGGGTGGCGCGGGTCATTGGGCGTGCTTCCCGCCCGAGGCGCCCGCCGACGCAGCCGTGGCTCACTCCACACAGGCCTCGGCGATCTCGCCGAGCACGCTGTCTAAGACACTCCTGCTGGGGGGAGCGGCTACTGCTCGCCCGGCCGCTGCCAGGAGGTCCGGCGCGTTTCCCAATCGAAGTAATACGTCCGGCCCGAGCCGGGGTCCTGTGTCAGGTCCCAGCCCGCAGGCAAGCCGCTGGCCCACATGCGCTCGGCGGTGCCGCACGGTACTCTCCTCAGCACTACCCGCGCGCTCTCCTGGCGTTCCCAGCCGCCGCTCGGAACCTCGGAGAACCACACGGCCACCTCCGAGGGGTCGCCGCCGTGGCCCTGCGGCAGCGGCGCGCTGCGCAGGAGGCAGCCTGCGCCGTCGGAGACGCCGATGCGCCAGCGCTCGAAGCCCTCCGACGTCTCGAGGAGGAGGCAAACGGGCGCGGCGCCGACCTTTGCGAAGCAACGCTCGCAGTCCGCGGCGGACGGCCGCAGCACGTACGTGCCGTTGGCCTCCGCCGACGGCCCCGCCGCGCCGAGGACGAGGGCGAGGAGCTCCGACGGGGCCTGGCCTTCGTCCCCGCTCTCGGCACCCAAGGCCCCTGCGCCCACAAGCGCCGCCGCGGGCGCGTCGGCCGACGTCGGCGCCGCCCCGGAGGGCGCGGGGCCAGGGGCGGCGGCGGCGGGCGCGAGGGGTTGCCCAGCGCTCTCGGCCGCGCGCGGCGTCGGCGGCAGACTGTCGCCCTCGATCCAGACCACCTGCGAGCTGCAATGCCTCGCCAACTGCTCCGCCGCAAGGCGGTCCCTGTCGACCAGCCGGAGGGCGGGATCGGCCACGACGACCTCGACGTGCTCGGCCAGCGCGACCTCCCCGTGGACCTGCGCCTCCCGGTAGGTGTCGAGCACGCCGGAAGGCACCGCGAGCACGCGCTGGGTGGCCACGTGCAGCACGTCGCGTAGCGCGCCGTCCCCAAATCTCAGGAGGACGTGGGCATAGTGGTCCTGAGAGGAGGAAAAAAAGTACCCGGACCGCTACCTTTCCTGCGTTTTCCCCTTTTTGGGGCGCCTGGGCGGCCCTCATCGCCACCGCTGGAATCGCGTCAGAACGCACCCTGGGAGAGGTCCGGGGAGCAGCGGTATCGGTACGGTACCTTTGGGTTTCCCCAGGTCCACGGTGGCGAGGTCTTCGGTCTCAAGGCCCGCCGAGTCCTGGGCGGAGAAGGTCGTCCGCAGCCTGCATCTTCTCAGCAGCAGGTAACTCCTCCCGTACTGGGCGCACGCCCGCACTCCTGCGGGATCGTTGATGACGTTGATCGTGCCGTACTTCACGCGTTCAAACGCCGACGATCTTCCATACGCCCCACCAAACAAACTGTCCTCCCACATCATGCGCTTCTTCTGGTCGAGCGTACCGCCGCTCTGGTTCGTCTCGTGCTGATTGCGGTAGTGCGTGTCTCCTGTCAGCTTCTCGGCCACCTCCTCCAGCCGAAGGTGGATGATTATGGGAGCCTCCTCGCGGATCCACGTGAGGGCACGGTCGAGGTCGGACGGCGGGTAGCCCAGCGCGCGCACCCGCGACTGCAGCCTCGGGAGCGCCAACCGATGCAGCTCCTCGCTGATGCGGCGCACGTGCGCGAGCGCCAACCGCTGGCACGGCGTCAACCGCTCCTGGGGGAAGCCAGAAGGTAACGGTACCGCTACTCCAGGGCGCGTTCTGATTTCGAGGCGAACCCAGTCAGCCGGTCCTGGGGGAAACCAGAAGGTCACGATACCGCTACTCCACCCCGTCGTGGCGACGGGGGCCTCCCAGGAGGGCCTGCAGGGCGAAAGCTGGGCGAGAGTGGCGGTATGGAAACCTCATGAACCCATGAGGGCCTCCCCCTGGTGTTACCGTCAGCGCCGAGAAGGGCGGAATAACTATTGTTCCCTCCCTCCTCCTCCTCCTCCTCCTCCGCCTCGTCGCTGTCCTCTTCCTACCTGTCCTCCACTTCCTCCTCCTCGCCACTTTCGAGGGTTGCTAGGGTCTCCAGAGGAGTACTCAGCAACGGCCAAGTGCCAAGGTGCCAGGGTAACGTTTCACGGTGCCCGATGCGCTATTGTTCTACAGGAAGGGGGATGGGGCTCTTCATGGCGTCATGAGGTCACCTTTCCCTCCTCTGAGCTCCAGCTCCCTCAACTCCTCCACGGGGGCGCACGGCCAACCACGCCGCACCTCGCGCTGCAAGTCCGCCGCGGTTGGCACGCGGCCGTGGTACGGCATGCGCACCACTACGGCCGCGCCGAACACCAGCAGGCAGAGCCCGCAGCAGAAGAGCGCACACGCGGCCAGGGCGTAAGTCCAGAGCCCCGAGTCCTCGCCGCGGAACAGCCACGCCCAGAGGTCTGGGTAGGAGCCCTGAATGTGGACCCCGAGCTCCTTCAGCGTCACCTCTCTCCGCAAACCCTCGACCTGGATCGCGCCCAGGTCTAGCTTGACGTCGATCGCCACGAAGATGGGCAAAGCGAGGGTGGCACAAACCAACGACATGGTAATAACATGACAACCGTAAAGCAAGGAGTTATTCCGTGTGCCCCCCCGGCCAAAAATGGTCGGATTCGTACTCCAGAAGCCCGCCAGCCACCACGATTGCAGAGCTTGGTCCCTGTGTGTGTGTGTGTGTCGTGCCGTTGCTTTTGTAATCCACCGCACGCTTTCTCTTCCAACCCCCTTCTTCCCCGTTCGGGAGGGATTGAGGCTCCTCCTTGATATGCCCCCCCACTCTACCAGCCCCCAACCGGGGCGAGCACCGACCCCCCCAACCATCAGTCAAACCAACAACACTTCAAGATCTGAATCCAGATCAGTTCCGGGCGCCCCGCGATCACGTTGCCTCTCTCCCCCAACTGCTCGTATCAAATGGTCCGATTGATTACTTCTAGGAGGCGGAATGCAGGATCGCAAGATCTGGAATCGGTCGGGCATCTTGGCCTCTCGTGGCCTCCCGTGGTCCCCCGCCGTGGCCTCCCACAATCTCTCGTGGCCTCCCATCGCATTAGTATGTTTACCGTAGGTCTTACTGACAATATGGGTAAGCATGCGTATGGTATGAAATATCTGTGTATGTATGGTTGGCACTAGTAGTCGCGCTCGCATTCGCATTGAACTCATGTTACTTCAAGTTTGTGGTCAAACGAGTGGCAGCCCCCGCAGTAGTCGCAGTAGTAAACGTTATAGTTGTAGTAGTCGTCGTAGTAGTAGTAGTAGCAGTAGCAGTAGTAGTAGTAGTAGTAGTAGTAGTGGTAGTAGTAGTAGTAGTAGTAGGAGTAGGAGTAGGAGTAGTAGTAGTAGTAGTAGTAGTAGTAGTAGTAGTAGTAGTAGTAAGCGTCGTCGTCGTAGTAGTAGGAATAGCAGGAATAGTAAAAAAATTCATGGTAGTGGTAGTAATGGTAGTAACCGTCGGTGTAGTACTCGTAATAATAATGGTAGTGGTAGTGGTAGTGGTAGTGGTAGTGGTAGTGGTAGTGGTAGTGGTAGTAGCAGTAGTAGCAGTAGTAGTAGTAGTAGTAGTAGTAGTAGTAGTAGTAGTAGTAGTAGTAGTAGTAGTGTCGGTAGTCGTCGTCGTCTTCGTCGTAGCAGTACTACTCGTAGTAGTAGCAGTGGCAGTAGTCGTCGTCGAAGTAATAGTAGTAGTAGTAGTAGTAGTAGTAGTAGTAGTAGTGGTAGTTGTAGCAATCGTAGTCGTAGTAGTAGTAGTAGTAGTAATAATAGTAGTAGTAGTGGTAGTTGTAGTAGTAGTCGTAGTAGTAGTAGTCGTCGTAGGAGTAGTAGTAGTAGTAGTAGTAGTAGAAGTAGTAGTCGTAGTAGTAATAGTAGTAGTAGTAGTAGTAGTAGTAGTAGTAGTAGTAGTAGTAGTAGTAGTAGTAGTAGTAGTAGTAGTAGTAGTAGTAGTAGTAGTCGTAGTAGTAGTAGTAGTAGTAGTAGTAGTAGTAGTAGTAGTAGTAGTAGTAGTAGTAGTAGTAGTAGCAGTAGTAGTGGCGTAGTAGTAGTAGCAGTAGCAGTAGCAGTAGCAGTAGCAGTAGCAGTAGTAGTAGTAGTAGTAGTAGTAGTAGTAGTAGTAGTAGTAGTAGTAGTAGTAGCCGACGTAGTCGCAATAGTAGTGGTAGTCGCCGGCGCAGGACGCACGCTTCAGCAACCCGCCAAATCGACCTGGCCGCTTGGGCCCGCCTTCCCGACCCGCGTGTCAGGGTCTACCCGCCCGATATGCCCGTCTGGTTCTGCCACTTGTTTTCTGCTCCCAGCCTCTCTCTTGCTTCTCTCACTCGTGCTCCATTCTAATGTATCCCCCTTGTCCCTTCCTTCCATCCGTGCTCTCTTGCAACGCTGAGGGTCTGCACGAAATGCACGTTGCAGCTAAAAAGATCCATCCCGAACAAGGTACGATCGAAGACGAAGACGGTGGGTATCGAGAGTTTCGGATATACGAAAGAACGTGTTCTACCGCTGCTGGCGGAAAACCGGGGGGGGTCACTACCGGTTCGAACCCCTCCCCCCCCCTCCGGAAAACCGGGGGGGTCACTACCGGTTCGAACCCCTCCCCCCGCCCCCCCCCAATTCATCATGAAAAGGGGGGAGGGTCACTACCGGTTCGAACCCCCCCCCCCTCGAACTCGAAAACCGGGGGGGGGTCACTACCGGTTCGAACCCCCCCCCCCTCGAAAACCGAGGGGGGGTACGGACAGTGGTGGGGACGGTGGTGGTGGGGACAGTGGCGAGGGGACAGCGGGGCAGTGGTGGGGACAGTGGGACAGTGGTGGGGACGGTAGTGGTGCATGGGGACAATGGTGAAGACAATGGCGGGAACAGTGGGGACAGCGGGACAGTGGTGGGGACGGTGGTGGTGGGGACAGTTGTGTGGGGACAGTGGGAATGTGGTGGAAACAGTAGGACAGTGGAGGGTAGAGTGGTGGTGGGGACAGTGGTGAAGGCGGTGGCGAGGACGGCGGTGGGACAATGGGACAGAGGTACAGTGGGGACAGTGGTGGGGACAGTGGGGACAGTGGTGGGAACAGTGGGACAGCTCAGTGGGACAGCGGAGGAGTCAGTGGGACAGTGGGGACAGTGGGGATAGTCGTGGAGAAAGTTGGGAGAGTGGAGCCGTGGTGGGAACAGTGGTGGGGACAGTGGGGACAGTGCGACAGTGGTGGTGGCACTGGTGGGGACAGTAGGGGCGGTGGTGGAACCAGTGGGGACAGTGGTGGTGAGGACAGTGGCGCTGGGAACAACAGTGGGGGATGTGGTGAGGACGGTGGTAGGGACCGGGAGTCGTTTGCTGGAGGTGAGAGGGGTGGGGAGGGGTTCGAACCGGTAGTGACCCCCCCTCCGGTTTTCGAAGGGGGGGGGGTTCGAACCGGTAGTGACCCCCCCCGGATTTCGAGTTCGGGGGGGGGGGGTTAGGGAAGGGGGAGGGGGGTTTGGCCGGGGGGATGGGGGGGTGGGGTGTTCCAGCAGGGGGGGGGGTTTTCGGAGGGGGGGGGGGGGACCTCGGGTTTCGGAGGAAAAGGGCGGCAATTTTCCACAGTAAAGCGGCGGTGGATCACGCTCTCTCGGATATACGTATTGAGTGGCATGCGAGCAGATAGTAGCGAACAGTCTTAAAATGAGTCTGGTTGTTGCTGGTGGTGTTTTGTTGTTGTTGCTGTTGTTGTTGAAGTCTTTTCTCTACAGAATGATTGTTGTTGGTCCCCGGTAACCCTTGCTGTTTCAATGTATGTGTTTCTCCCGGGGATCGCCCCCTGTTTAATGCAAAAGAAAATCAAGGGGTCTCCAAACTGCGCCCCTGGTCCCCAGTTGACAGTAACAGCGGCTCCCGCCGAATACTTCCTCACACTTGGCTTCCAAATCGAGATCTCGCGTGGGACTTATCAATTATTCAGACGCCGCGCCCTCGACACTCAGAAACCACGCTCTCGCGATGGATGTCCACACGATGTATTTGGGAATCGCGCTGTCGCTCGACAGTTCCTCGCGGTTCATGCAGGACGCACGCTTCAACAACCCGCCAGATCGACCTGGCCGCCTGGGTCAGTCTTCCCGATCCGCGTGTCAGGGTCTACCCGCCCGAAGTGCCCGTCTGGTTCTGTCACGTGCTTTCTGCTCCTGCCCCATTCCTGCTACGCTCTCTCGTGCTCCATCTTCCTCCATCCCCCATTCCACCCGCTCTCTCTTCCCCTGCTGGAGGAGTCAGTCAAGCCTGGCGCTCGCACGGCGCATTGGCATATAAAAAGTTAACACAGTGCAATGCAGAAGCTACGCGCCAGCCCTGGTTCGGCTCTTGGGCACCACTGCCGCCACTGAGCCAGATTTCCGGCAGGGCGTGTGGACAGAAACGTGCGCAATTGGCACAGAGCGCGCGACTGCGAAGCAGAGAAAAGTTGAGGGCCCCACGACCGTGAAGCACAATGCGTATCTACCTTTTTCCACGGCAAAAACATCGATGTGAGCCTGGCCTTGGGTGAAATGGCCCGCTGTCGCCGGACGAATGCGATACGAAATTCCATGAGAACGTATCGGCTCCACCTGTGAAGAAAAGTGGGGACGGGGAGGGGGGGAGGGGAGGGGGGAAGGAATGGGACCAGGGCTACATCCCCTTTGCAAGGAAAAAAAACGCATAGACGCAAAGGAGCCCACTGCTGTTTAGGCCTCCCCCTGCGTCGCTGGTGCTCCCATTTTGTTGGCCGGCCAGTGCCTGGCTCACATGTTAAAAGTCTGATAGGGTGATTTTCCGGCAACGCTACAATTTTACTACACAGCGCCGTCGGACGCTCGCGCAACGTGCAGCTCAATGGAAGTTCCCCCGCTTTGTCCAGAATCTCCGTAATGGGGACTCGTGAAACATACGCGCTAGGGATGTTGAGGACTCGCCTTAAACGTTGAGTGCGAAAACTATCCAGACAATTTTTGTCCGCTTGCAACAGCCACAAAATCTCTAAATTATAAAACAGCTTCGGCAACACGACACCTTTGTATAATTCAATTTTTCTGCGGCGACAGATGTTGGCGTGCGACCAACACCGGGCTCGGCTCTTGAAGGTTGCTTTGGCCTCACCAACTCTTCTTGTCACTTCTGGTTGAGCTACGCAGTTGACGTTCAGCAGGCCCCCCAAATACACAGTTTGCTCAACGGTTTTCAGCGGAGCGCCAGTTGGTGAAAAAAATATACCGGAGTTATGCCAGCGCGTGCATACAGTCTTGTCCCAGTTGAGATCTAATCCGTACCTTCGGCCTTCATCTGTCACTATGTCCAGAAACGTTTGCAATTTCCCGGAGTCGCTGCTGATGAGCATTGTGTCGTCAGCGTATAATAGATCACGGCATACTAGATACACTCCGGTTCCACAATATCTTCGTGCAGGCTCGCCATTCATTTGTCTATGTCGAAGAACACGACGCTCTGTACAATTATAAACAACTAAGGAGAAAGCGGACACCCTTGGGCGATCCCTGCGGCTTGTGTCCTTTGGCGGGAGTTCCTTGCAGGATCCTTTAAAATGAAGCTTCTGTGCTTGTAGATGGACGCAACCAGCTGCATTATGTCAGAAGGTAATCCGAATCTTCGTAGGGCACCCAGAAGAGCATCATGTCGGATTCGATCGAAAGCTTTTGACCAATCAAGCAATACTGCAATCAATCCTGGCGCTTTACCTGTCTCCGCAGCTTCGAACATGCGACGTGCGATGCTGATGGCTTGCGCGGTGCCTCTGCCAGGGCGGAAACCGAACTGGCTCGAACGTGTTCTCTGCTCTGCCCCGCCATTTTGGATGCGCTTGTGGATCATCCAAGCTAGGAGCTTATATCCAATTGTTAAAAGAGAAATTGGCCTGTAGTTCTCTGGAAGGCTTGCGTCCCCCTTTTTGTGTTAAGGAAGACATACCAACAAGCGGGTACGATCGAAGACGAAGATGGCGTGTGCCGAGGGTTTGGGATACACGTGTTCGTGTTGAACGGCACGAGGGCAGGTAAGAACGAACACTATTAACACGATTGTGGTAGTGGTGGTGTTGGTGTGTTATTATTGATATGGTTGTTGATGGCAATTTCGTTGTTGTTGATGTTGATGGTACGGCTGTTGTTGCTGTTGGTGTTGCTGGTGCTGTGTTGATGCTGACGTTGACCTTATTGCTGTTGGTGGTGGTGGTGTCAGTGTTGTTAGTGTTGTTGTTGTTGTTATTGTTGGTTGTGTGTTTGTTGTTTGTGTGTGTTTGTTTGTTTGGTTGTTTGTTTGTTTGTTTGTCGTCGTCGTCTCACTCGCGACCCGGCCCGCGACCCAACCGTGACCCGCTCACGACGCACCCGTGACCCACCCGCGACCCACCCCGTGCCCGCCCCCCCACTCTTATCCGCAACTGCGGGGTGATACGTATATATCTCTGTATACATGATGTACACGTGTATAAAGCAACGTGCTCGTCCGTGGAACCTACACAAGTTGGCGTCCTCCGACCCCTCTAGCCCCCTTTGCTGCCACGGCGATCGCCCGAACGTGGTGTCGAAATCGCGCGGCAGCGCAGCTGGATGAAACAAGAAGCTGGTGGAGAGTACCGCACCTGCCAGCACGATTACGGAAGCACCAGTCGAGAAAAAGAGTCCCCACAATCGCAGGAAATAGCTATCACCGTAGAGCTGGATTTGACTCTCAACCTCGGGCGCAAGGATCAGCATCTCGTCCGCTGCGGCGTAGATATCGCACCAGCGCGGACCAGCGGCAGAGCACGGATCGGTGTCACCAATGCTGAGCAGCAGAGTGGCGATGGCCCTGATGTGCTGACCCAGCTCGCTGATGGCACCTACACCGAGGTAAGGGTCCTCGCACACCTCGAGGACCCTGTCCAGTCCGCCCGCGAATGTTAACTCCACGCTGCTCCTGAAGGCAACGCGTGAAGGAGGCAGGAAGGAGCGTGGCAACGGTGAGGTAAGAGAAGGAGGGGGAGGGACCAGGGACGGGAGAAGACGGAGCAGAGTGCAGGGAAGATGGAGGGACGAGGAGGCACCCCCCTCCCGCCCTCTCTGTCCCTCCTCTTCTTCCTCCTCCTTCCTCCTCCCTCCTCTTCTCCCTCCTCTTCTCCCTCTTCTTCCTGTCCCTCTCTGGCCCTCCGGCACAGGAAGCCTGGACGGAGCTTGAAGGGACACGGCCCCTTGAGAAGCTGCGGGCCCCTGGCCGGGGGGACCAATGGGGCCCCTGGACCGTTGCGTCTTCAAGGTCTCCCCAAGAGGCCCACATAGACTCAGGTCGGGCATGTCCTCCTACAACGGGATTGTGGGCGGGTAAAAAAATGTACACCCCAACAATGCCCTAAAACAATCAAACATCGTCAACACATCGTCCCCAGACTATTGTGTAACTATTTTGGGATCTTCCTCCTGTAGGGGGACAGGCCCGACTCAAACATAGCCTCCAGAGCTCCCGTCACGAGGCCCAGCAAGGCCCATTGGCACGCCCGAGACGGGTATGGACACAAGTTGGCACACTGCCAACAGCACATGTTGCTCCAAACCAGCAGCGACCGCTGCTGGGCAGGCGACAGGCAACATTATACTATGTCTGACACGGGGCACGTCTTCGGCGACGCCATCAACAGACATAGTTCAAGATGGGCAGGAACTGCTGTTGGCCTCCGAGCCCATCATTGCCGTACCCATTTCGCCTCCCCACCCGACCCCTGGCCTAGGCCACTTGGGACTTCAACGCCGCGAACCAGCGTGACTGTGGTGTCCTGACACTCCTAAATCGTGCCAGAAGGAAGAGGAGGAGGAGGAGGAGCAAGAGGAGGAGGAGAAGGAATAGGAGGAGGGGGAGGAGGAAGGGGATGATGATGATGATGATGATGATGATGATGATGATGATGATCGACCGTACCTGAGGCGAGCCAGTTCGCACGCATCGTCAGCCGCTTTAGATGTCAGTGGCGTGCTGTGTTGCTGCGAAGGCGGCTCGCTGTTGGCTTGGCGTGAGCTGGTCCCCATGGGTCCCCGCAGCTTTCGCCTTGTGGTAAGTATGGAATGCCAACACGGCCAAACGCAGCGCATCAGCGCGCGAGAACGTGCAGCTCTCACAATTGTATTCATTGTCGGCCGCTAGGCCGAGGAAAGTCAGTGGGTTGGAGGGGAGGCCGACGAGGGAACGGAGGACGGGGCAAGACAAATAATGGGCAATGGAGTCAGTCTGGGCGCACCCAAAAAGGCAATTGACGATCCCACGCACGTGGATTCGATGGCTGGTAGTCCAGCCGCCTGCGAGGGTCTTAAGGATCGACCACTGCCATGCAGGTTTGAACTTCTTAATCGTTGCAAGACAATCCCCCCGCCGCTCCGCCACCCCGCCCACGATGCTATCAGCAAGACCCCAAGCGTTCAGACGCTTGGAGATAGCGACTTCAAATTTATTGGGGAAGAGATTGAGGCGGAGGAAGGAGGAGATCGCACGCTGGAGCTTGGGCTTCTTGCCCACCACTTGCGCCGCACGGGTTTCCACGCGGCCTGCTGCATGCGAGGCTCTCCACTGGACAATTGGGATGCCTCGGCGGGGTGGGCGATTCACTAAATCTGCGAAGCGCTGGGCGATCCCCTGCTTTTGGATCCAGCAGGGGGCGCTCCACTCTCCTTTGATCCAGTCAACGACGGGGCAGGTCAGCGCCGCCGTTTCGCGCCACCTGTCGAGCTCTGCTGCCCAGTCAGTGATCGTGAGAGTGGAGCAGCGCCACATACTAGCCGCTCCTAGGATCAGGGCGGACTGTGGGGCCACTAAACCGTGTCCCGTGAAAGAGAAAACATCTGCTTTGCGAAACGTGCTGGGTGGAAGCCGAAGGACTTTGTGGATGGCAATTTTTTTCCTTCAGGGGGGCTTCGCGATCCATCGGGAAAAGTTGGGCAAGGTAGCTTAAAGTAGATAATGCAGTACTGTTGTATAGCAGCAGACTGACACTGGTGGGGCTCTCGGATTTGGGAATGTCAAACGAACGAGCCCACCACTTGGCGACCGCTTCCTTCCACACAAGCGCCTCCGACGCCCCGGGCCCAAACTGGACCCCAAGGTATTTGGTGTAGGAAGCCATCTTCATATTGGTCCATTGGGGAATATGCTCGCGCAGGAATCCCCGAATTCGTGCTACGACTGCCTCTGAGAGCTCTGTCCAGAGAGGGACGATGACAGTTTTGGAAGTCTGGAGGCGGAGCTTAGCAAGCTCTTCTGCATCCTGAAAAACTGGAGCGACGCGGCATAGGTCCTCGAGTCTAGGTTGAGCAAGGCCTGTGTCGTCCGCACACCCACCCACCTCCCCGCGCCAGTCCCCCAGAGAAGGATCAGCGGCTTGCTCAACCAGACATCTCAGGATGGGGCCCATTGCTAGAGCCCAGGCCGAGCCTGAAAGAGGGCACCCTTGCATGACTCCAGACTGCAGGTAAAAGAGAAACTGTTTGGATCCCTGGACAGAGGCGAAACTGCGGGGCCCAAAATACAGGGAGCCGATGAATTTCTGGTAGCCTTGCGGAAGGCCAGATCGAGCTAAAACTGCCCAGAGCCAATCGTGCCCGAGGCTTGGGAAGGCTGCAGCTATGTCGAATGCGACAAACACTGGGGCGTGTGCGTCTGCATTCGGCTGTGCACTCATTCTACGCGCTGCGCTATCTAAACGAAAAATAGTACCGACAAAATTGCGGCCAGGAACAAAACCTTGTTGGACGACATGGGTCCGAGATTGGACCAGGGCCTTGATTCTATGGTTGGCCGCTGAGGCCAAAATCTTGGAGTCCGAATTACGTAGCGACAGCGGTCTAATTTGAGAGGGCTTTCTGATACATTCGTAAGCATCTAGGGGCTCAGAACCTTTGGGAAGGAAGGCGAACAGGGAATCGTTCAGATCCTCGGGAACGTAGTCACCTGCGAAGAGGTGCAGCATCAGGCCGTGGAGGGTGTACAGTTGCTCTTCGGCTACCATACATGCCCGATATGGTAAGCTATCTGGACCTGGCGAAGAGTGACGAACACGTTTGAGGGTAGCCCTGAGGTCATCAACACTCGGGATCGGGATCGGGACCTCTGGGGCCGACGGGTAGACTCTGTCCAGGTGAGCCACGATTTTGTTTTTGTCGGCCGATTTGTAGCGGAAAACCTTCCCCCAGTCGGCAGCAAGAGCTTCATGAACTTCTGTGGGGCCTCGAACGACAGGGGCCTCGGGGTTCTCTAGAGAGTGTTCAGGACGGATACCTGCCAGCACCATCCTGCGGCCCTTCGGTTTCCAGAGGAAGGCCCTACGGCGACCAGCACGCAGTTGACGAACATGCGCTTCAGCTGCAGGTTGGTCTCCAGCTCGTTGTGCCGCTTGCGCAGCTCGGGCAGCGCGTAACTGCATAGCCTCAAGTTCCGCATCGTGTAGTGAGCGGAAGAGGACGCGAAAGGTGTCCGCGTTCTGGAGTCTGACACCACCCTCATCGATGTGGAGAAAGCGCTTGCCATCCTCGGTGGTTGATACCAGAAGGGCTGCTTGCTGTAGGTCCTGCTTCCACACGGCTCTAGAAATACTGCGGAGAGTAATGTTGCGGCCACCTCGTGCACGTTTGTCGCCAGGTCGATATGGTAGCCGCTGAAGCTCATCTCGAGTTTGACGAGCGGCCTCAAGCATGAGCTGTTTCATGTGCGTCCACTTCAGCACAGGCGAGAACCTTTCCAGTCCACTCGCGTTGATGAGGCTGTCGAGTATGATCTTGTAACGCTCGTCCGTGAAGACCACATCTGGGATGCGCTGCGCCTCCTCTGGGATGTTCTGCTTGGCTCTGAAGGAGGCGTGGATGATGGAGTGGTCGCTCAAGCGTGACTGGGCCATCTCCACTGGGTCCATAGCAACAGAGAGGTGGATGTCCGTGGCGATCAGGTAATGCTCTGGTGTACTGACAAAAAGTCTATCGATGGCCGATGCGGTGTAATGCTGTCTGCTGAAACATGTTGGCACCTCCGAGCGGATCTCCTGCGTAGTGTCAAAGAGGGAACGCCAGAAAGCTTCTGCAGGTTGGTATGTACGAAGTGTCCGTAGCTGGGCCTGATCAGGTATCGGGTGATCATATGACAACGGAACGCCCTCACGGATGTTGAAGTCACCTATCGCGATGAACGTTCGCTCAAGATGATTGCTGCTTGCCCATTGAATATTTTCCATCCATCTGCTGTTGATAACATTCTTGTCGTTCGGGGAAATGTTGTAGTTGTGAACATTCATGACGCGCATCTGGCAGGGTAGCTCGTGGTGCTTGATAGACAGCTGCGCGACCCTGCCTGGGACTAGTACTTCAAATTCGAGAGACGGTCTGGTATCTGCAGCACTCGCAGGCCACGGCACTAGGAATGCCACTCCACCTCGCCGTGCGTTGCCAGCGCGCTCAGCATCGGGTGGTTCTGATGAACTCTGTGATGATTCTTCCGCCTGAGAGTGAAAGACCTTGTACTTGTATGGGGAGGAGGCGACCATGACTTCAAGCTGTTGACGAACACCATGCGTCTCCTGGATCATGATGAGAGCGGATGCCTTCATGAACCTCTCCAGCTTGCGCAGCTTGTTCTTGCGGCGGCGATTCTTGTAGCAGCACGGGCCACGAGCATTCCACGATACTACTTGGCCACCACTGTCTCTAGCTTGTTGTAGCCACGGGCTCCAGCGCGCGTTAAATAGACCACCGCGTCGTATCTGTGGCCTGGAAGAGCTGCTGAAACTGATCTGTGATAGTGACCTTGTCGATACCCATCTGGTGGGCGACTGCGATGTTCCACCTGAGCTCTGTGGGTGCGTTGGCGCTGTCTCCAACCTCGAGAACCACAAGGGGAATTGAGCTGCAAGAGACGATACCTTCGTCTCCGGCCCTTCTGAAGTGGTGATTGCCGTACTTGTCTGCCAGGAGTCTGACCAATCTCTTTGTTTGTAGTTCTCGCCGAAGTGTTTTAGGAGACTTGTCCGCGTTGATGCACAGGGGAGTGAGCGCGCCTGTAGTGTTTGGAGCCGAGAAGTTACGCCACTGACCTCCTGCTCTGAGATTCCGTGCGAGTGAAAGACTGCGTGAAGTGGCTGCTTCTCCACCGAGGACTCTGAGGAAGAAACGCCGTGCGGGCACGTCGCCGATGAGCTCGATGTCGTTGGTGGAAACACCTGCTGCATTGATCCAAGGTTCAAGAGCTCGCTTGACTTCTGCGGGTTGTATAGCCGATGGTGCGCCAATAGTGTAGAGGTGGGGATCTGGAGGTCGATCCCAAACTGCCAGAGCTGCCATGTCGAAGGCGGGTAAAGTAGCTTCCGCCATTGCCAATTGCGATTGAATACGTTCCACATCTTGCCGCATCTGTAGTTGTTCCTGCTCCACTGTGTGTGTACGTTGGCTAAGTTCTCGGACTGAGGTGTCAAGGACGTCCATCCTGCGGCCATGCTGTCGCACATGTCCGAGGACGAGCTGAAGTTCGCCTTGAAGAGCTTGCTGAGCGTTGCGTATGATGGCCTCGGACTCGTTCTGGAGCCTGGCGGTGGCGGACTCGATCTGGGAGGAGAAGAGCTGGCTGAGGCGCTGCTCCAGCGAGCTGTCGTCGTGCACGAATCCATCTCCAGCTGGGGTAGGGATGCTGCCGAATGCCTCGCCCGCAACTGGAGTCGCTGGTGCCACTCCTGCTGGTGTTCCAGTAGGCGTGCCGGGTGTTGTAGCCGCTTCTTCTGCAGCACGCATGTGGGAGGCCGCAGAAGCTGGTCCAGGTGGAGGCTGAGACCCTGTCCACGGGTCCTCTCGCTGTAGTGCATATTCGCCTCTCGGGTCGGCTCTTGAACTGGTTGCTCTGGCTGCTGTCGCGGCCGACGGTCCTCCGCTGCGCGCTGCTCTGCGTGTGGGTGTGGTAGCTGTGGCCGTACCTGCTCGGCCCGCACGTGGGGGATGAGCTCGTTGTGTAGCCCCCTTTTCGTGTTCACGGTGGTCTTCACGTTCACGTTCAGCTCGTCGTCTGTCCCGATCTTGAGAAGGAGGACGCTCGGATCTATGCTTGTCACTTCGTTGACCTCTATCACTGCGGGAGTGGCTGCCGTCACCTCTGCCCTTGTCTCTGCGATCTCGTTCTCGTTCTTTGCGTGGCCGTCTGCGTCGATCTTTAGATGCTGAGGAGGAGCTGCTGCCGCTACTTTCACTGGATGCCATTGTGAAGTACTCTGCCGTTGTGGGAGGTGGAGCGAGACGCTATGCAGCGCGGGGTCGTTGAAGTCGTTGCTGGCTGTGGGCCGCTTCTCGCCAGCGACCTGGGGCGCGATATGGAAGCCGTCCCAGCTGATGCAGAGGTGGCTCTTCGTCAGGAGGTACTCGACCGACGGATGGAATATGGAGGCGCACGCAGCAACAAATACTATGGCGAGGACACTTGGGCGGCCGCTAGCCCCTGATTGTGGCGGCAAGACAACTGGACGATCTGATGGGAGCCTACCCCGCTGAGGCAGTGGAGTGGAAGCCATTTGGCCTTGAGCCAAAATGGCTACGGCATGATGATGATGATGATGATGATGATGATGAGGAGGAGGAGGAGGAGGAAGAGGAGGAAAAAAGGGGGAGGGGGAGGAGGAGGAGGAGGAGGAGAAGGAGAGGAGGAGGAAAAGGAGGTGGAGGAGAGGAGGAGGAGGAGGAGGAGGAGGAGGAGGAGGAGGAGAGGAGGAGGAGGAGGAGGAGGGGGGAGGAGGAGGTGTGGGAAGAAAAGGAGGAGGACGACGAGGAGGAGGGGGAGGAGAGGGAAGAAAACGGAGAAAACGGCGATGGATCGAGGGAGGAGGAGCCACCTTTGGCAGCCTCTGGCAGCTGCGCTCCTGAACGCGGCGCCCACGGCCTGGCCGGACCAGGGCTCCAGGCTGGCGCAGTGGCGGCCGGCCTCGCTCGCCGCGCACCGCGCCAGCACGAGCGAGGCAGAGTGCGCGACGGCAAGGGGCCCGAGAAAGGGGTGCCGGGCCGCCCCCCACGATGGCAGGGAGGGGGGCGGGGGGGAGGGAGGAGGAAAGGAGTTTGGAGCAGGACGGAGCCAGGACGAGGATCACTTCGGGCGGGGATTGGATCGCGAATCTCTGCGATCCGGCGGCTCTGGAGAAGGCATCGGGCGCCGCGGTCTTCCCAAAACGTTCTGGGGAGCTCTGAAAACGTTCCGAACGCTCCGGAATGGATTTATCCTCGTCCTGGCCCCGTCCGAAGGGGGCAACTACTGGGAGGTCTTCGTCGAAAAGGATCAAGGATAATGAAACCCACTTGGGGGGCTACGTTACGCCGATTAGGCCGCATATTCAGCGGGATTGACACATATTCGGCGGGAGTCCGGCTAAATCGGATTAAGCCAGATTTCGATCCAGAGCAAAGTCAGAATTTGACCTCCTGGGAGTTGCATCCGAAGAGGGAGGCTCAAGCGAACCCAAGGGCCCCGCTCCAATATTGCCCCACGAGGGCCCCAACAGGGCCCCGCGATGGCACCGAGATGCCCCCAAGAGGTTTCCAGAGCGCGACTGCCCCCCTCCACCGGTCACGCCCGTCGTCGCCAAGGAAAAAGCTTTCTCCGCCGCCCCCAGGGAGCCCGCAGACAGGACGTACGCGCCCAACCACGCACGTGAATGCGGCCCCCCGCCCAATCCGCGAGACCACCCTCGCGAAACGCACTTCCGCGACATGCGCTTTTCCGAACGCAGCGTGGGTTCGTGCACGTGCACGCCCGTTTTTCGCTCCTGACGGAGAAGAGAAGGGGGAGAGATATGAGGGAGGAGGAGGAGGAGGAGGAGGAGGAGGGAAAGCATAGCGTTACGCTGGGTCAATAAATTCCTCCACTCTCACTTGGCAGCCGCGAGGGCTGCAGCGTAGGCAGCCGCTCTGGCGCAGGGGGGGTGGGCGCAAGAGGAGGAGGAGGAATCGGAGAAGGAAGAGGAGCGCAGCGCCTCAGGAAGGTCTCCCGCCGCGCACGCGGGCGCGCGACGGACTACCCCCTGGCGCCGCCGACCCACGGCACGGCGCCGTAAGAGCAGGAGGCAATGTGGAAGGAGAGCAACTGGAAGAAGCCGCCCTCGAGGCCGTGGACACAGGCTAATTTGCCGCCGAGGAAAGAGGCGTCGCCACCGAAGAAGACGCCGTGCCACCAGCCGACCACGGAACGGCAGCGAATCACGACATGGTCGATCAACGCGCCGCGCGGCTGCAAAAGAAAACCCCCATGCGGGGGCGGCGCTGCTGGGGTACGTCGGGCACGAGGCGCCAGGCCCCTTTCGACGCGCCTGGTCGCATCTTGCTGGTTGCGGCGCGTGGACTCGTTGGGCAAGAGCCCATCGCACCTCGAGCCAAGTTCTCGCGCTGCGCGGACATCTCCCGCGGCGCAGTGAGACCCGCAGCGCCTGCAACAGTAAGCATTGCTGTCCCTGAACATGCCCAAGCGCAGCGAAGGCGTCCCCGACCTCCTCGGCCAGGGCAGGTGGCAACAAGGCTGCGGGGGCCGAGGGCTGCGAGCTCCCTTCGAGCGCCAAGGCCGCGCCCAGGGCCATGCCTGCCCTCTGGTCGCCGCAGAGAACCCAGCCCCCGCCGAAGGCGCGGAAGTACTCGGCGTTGAGAGCTCTGGCAACACGCGAAGGGCGACATACACGGTGAGAGCCAGTTTGCAGCGACTCGAGGGAGGAGCCCGTTGTGGCCGCGACTCCGCATTGGGTGCGTCGGCACCGCCCGACGCTGGCGCAGTAAGCAAGGACATGGTCCGCACTGCGTGCCACCACAATGGGCCCGGCCTGCACGCAAGGTGGCCTGGGGGCCTCCACGTCGCACCCCCATTGTTCGCGGCCCGCCACCTGCAGTGCCGCCCGCGAAATGAACTGCAGGACCTTGCGGTGCTGTTTCAGCGCAGCTGTTGCCGCCTCGGCTACCGACCCGGCCAGCGCGTGAGAGGCCGCGCCACAGCGCGCGAAGTAGTCTGCCCAGCAGTTGCCTAGCCAGTCACGCAGCTTCTGCGGCTCTGTGCCCATAAGCTCCTCCCAGGCCCTGTGCGCTGGCGTCCATCGGAGCTTGGGGGGGCCCCGCAGAGTGCGCCTGCGGCTGGCCACGAAGATGCCCCGCCACGCTCAAGCATGCTTGGCGCGACCCTGCTCGAGCTCGGGACACCGGCGCTCTCCTCCCTGGGCGGGCGCCAGCAGGTCAGTGACGAAGCACTGGTAGTCAAGGAAAGCGTCGATCCCCTCCCTGATCGCGTACCTCTCAGCACGGCCGACAGTCTGCGCCAAGTACGGAATGGGCCCGAACCGCGCCCTAACTGGGGGCCAAGAATAAGGATCAAGCTGCACGACAGCTTGTCCACATTTCCGCACCTCGGGAACACCTGCGTCGAGACCAGACCCGTCGGTGTAAGAAACGGGGCCCCAGTCGCCATGGGCGTCGCCCCAGAGGCAGACGTCATGCCTCCGCGCATCTGCGCGTGGCAGATAAGCGGGAGGCTCGGGCATGCCAAAAACGAGGTAAGACTGCTCGAAGTTCGGCGTGCTTGATCCAAGACCCGCATGGATAAGTTGGTCGCGCACCTCAGCCAGCACTTGGGGGAAGTGGAAGATGCCGCGGCCATTCAGCGCTGGTGTCGCTGTCTCGGGCCCGCCGCGCCCGCGCGGTGCGTCGGGCGCCGAGGCCGGCGCCGCCGCCGCAGGGGGCAACGGGCCACTCTGTTCCGAAGCAACCGATGGCGCACAGGGGGCGCACTGCGCGCCCAGCCACGCCTTCTCCTGATGGCCGTCGTACCCATCGGGTGGCACAAAGTCGACCTCTTCATCAACCCCTTGCCCGATGCCTGGGAAGAAGTCGCCCTCGGCCTCCATGGTGCTGGGTCGGGCCGGCAAGGTCGGCAGGGTCGGGCCGGCCCGACTCTCAATGTTGTCGTGAGATTGCTGGCGTAGGTCGCCGAAGCCCTGCTGCATTTCAGGGTTCTGCGCTTGTCGCAGGCCTTGGACATGGCCCGTCGGCCCCTGCTCCATGGGTCGCAGCTCCCCCGCGGGGGGGCGGGCCAGCAGCGCGGGGCATTCCAAGAAGACATGGCCCCAACATTTATCGGGCGCAAGGGCCTTCCCGCAAGCCTGACAAGGGCGCACGGGCATGCCGAGCTGCATGCCCCGACGGATCGGCACGGGCATGCTGTCAGACCACAGCGCCTGGAACGCTCCCAACTGCCTTGCGGCACGGACACCCTTGACCGCATGACTGCGCCCACGGTGCCAGATGGGCGCAGAGTGGGAGTACATGTGGCTGGTGAGGCGGTCGTGCTGCCAGCGCTGCGCGCCCTGCGCCAAAAACGGACGTAGGTCAGCAGGACACGCGAGGCACAGGCCATGCTGGCTGCCCAGGTCGCCCTGCAAGACGTGCGGCGCTTTCATGTCCCAGGCGAGCCGCCTGAGCGTCAACCATGTCGCGGCCAGGGGACCTTTGGCATTGGCCCAACTGATAGGGACAAGCCGCTCATGGAGCGCTGTCGAAGCCCTTTGAAGGCGGCTGGGTGACGTGCGCCCATCCCAAATCCAGGCGGCGTAGTTCAAGACCAGGTTCTACCGTGGCATGATAGATGGGGCCGTACTCCTCCGAAGGGTGAGTAAGGAGGCATGCCGTGACGCCCACGTGGTGTTTGTCACTGCGCCCGTTTAGCACCGCGGCCAAGTTGCGCATCTCACGTAAAGGCGCGTCCGCCAACCCCGACACTCCAGCGCCGTGCCCTGCGGACGGCGTGAGCCCAGTCCGACGCAGGCTTGCACTCCCGCGCGGCCTTCATGCGCTTCTTCTCAACCTTCCTCAGCACTCGAGGGCCATGCAGCTCATGGCCAAGGTTGCGCAGATGTCGGGCTTGGGGCACCGCCCGAGGCAGCCGCCGCTCGGCACCGCGCGCCACAAGGCGGACCTGCGCTGATCCAGCCACTACCGCGGACTCAGCAGGTTGGAGAATAAGCCCGAGGCCCCTGGTCTCTGCAACGAGCACCATCGCAGTGCGCAGCAGCAGCTTGACATCACCGATGCCGGGGGGGACCATCTGCAGGCCGACGTCGTCCACCAGCGAACGTGGCTTGATTGTCGGCGCAACCCTGCTGGCCCGCTGGAGGACGCGGTACGTCAGCAAGTAGGTGGCATGCGTGCACCCCGCCAGCACTCCCGGAAAGGCGACGAAAGAGCACGAGCGGCTGCCGTACGCCTTGATGCGTCGTGGCTGCTGTCAGAGCTGCAGCAACATCCAGAGCAGGCGCGTCGGGCAACCCAGCTCCCATGTCAAAGCATTTCACCATGTCAAGGAGGATGGTACAAGTGTGGTCGCCGATGAGGCTCCCCACCTCTTGCTCCAGATTGTGGGCGAAAGCAGAGGCCGTGGATGCGTGGCTGCCTCGAGTACACCAAATCTCGGCACAATTATGCCGTCGCTGCCACTCTGCCGGCAGCCATCGGCGTGCTTCCGCCCAAACTCGTATGAGAGCATGGCTAAGCACAACCAGCCGGTGGCCACCATCTGGCTTAGGGAGACGGACCATCTCACTATGCAGGCGGTCTGAGGGAAACCGTAAGTGCAGCTCAAAGACCTCGAACTTCTGTGCCAACCTACTGAGAGCCTAATCCGATAAGTGCTCGAGCGCCTCGGGTGGAATGCGGGTGGGCCCCGAGGCGGTGGCGAGAGAGAAATATCGGATGGCCTGTCCTCCAACGTAGGTGCGTCCGTGGGTAGAGGCAGCTGTTCCAGCCCATGGGTCGCCCAGATCCGCTCCCACTCGTCCACGGCGCGGTCCGCGAGGATGTATGGCTGGGCGTCGGCTTCAGGGGCAACGAGTTCTTGCTGCGCCCTGACCCTGGATGCAGCATGGGCAGCCTTCGCCCCCCATTGAAGGCCGCCTGAGCCCAGCTGCGCCAGGCTCTCTCCGCCGCGCCGCGAGCCGCGGCAGCGATGTCCTCCGCGCGGC